CTTTCTTTCTTTCTTTCTTTCTTTCTTTCTTTCTTTCTTTCTTTCTTCTTTCTTTTTAGGATTTTCTACCTACATAACCATGAGGTCTCCCCCCAGCGCCCCAAAAAGTTTTACTTTTTCCTTTATAATTATCATGCCTTTTTGTCTTTTGACTTATTGAACTGGGAAAGAATTACAATGTTTAATAAAGTGGCAAGGGAGATTATCCTGCCTTATTCCCAGTCTTAAGGGAAAAATTTTTATTGTTTCATCATGAAGTATGATGTTAACTGCTCTTATCACCATGAAGAAGTTACCTTCTCTTCCTAGTTTTCTGGGAGCTTTTATCATGAATGGGATATTAAATTTTACCAAATATTTTTTTTTGCCATTTATTGAGAAGATTATATATTCTTCTCCTTTATTCTGAGAATACTGTGAATAACATTGATTTTTGAATGTTAAAACAAGGTTGCATTTCTAATACAACTCTGCTTAGTCAAGGTGTGTTATCCATCTTTATATATACCTGGATTCTCTTTGCTATTCTATGAAGGATTTTTATATCTAAATTCATAAGCAATACCGGTATGTCATTTCCTTTTCTTGCAACATCTCTTTGTCAGCTTTTGTTATGAGGGTAATCCTGGCTTTGTGATACAAAGTAGGAAATGTTCCCACTGTTCTCTGAATTTGAGATAGTTTTGTATTATCTTTTACTGAAATGTCTAGAATTTATCATTAAAACCATCTGGACCTATGGTTTTATATTTTAGGAAAGGTATTTGATCATGAATTCAAATGTCTTTAATAGCTATGGGAGATACTTAGATTGTTTCTTCTTATGTCAGTGTTGATAAGTTATGTTTTTTTCAGTAAGTTTGTAAATTCACAAATTTCATGAATTCAGTAAATTCATTTAAGTTGCCGTATTTATTGGCATAAAATTGTTCTAATGTCCCCTTATTATTCCTTTAATGTTTGGAGGGTCTGTAATGCCACTTCTTTCCATTTTTGGTATTCACAGTTTATGTTTCTCTTTTTCTGTCATGGTCAGTCTTCTTAGGGATGTATTGACTTTACAAACCTTTCAAAGAGTGAATCAATCTTAAATGTATTTTTTGGAGGTTAAACTTTTTGACATTTGCTTATTTTCCCACATCACCAATCTTGGATTATTATGAGTCACTTGTCACAATTATGAGTGGCTTTGCATCACGTCTCCTCAGAAAGATGGCACTGTTGAATGACTGTGACGTCCTGTGGACAACTTCATTCTTTGATCACTGTTAGAGCTCCTGGTTTCACAGCCCCGTGAGCCCCCTTTGCAGTGATCTATTAAATGTAATTAAAAAATATTTTTGATGTTTATTTATTTTTTGAGAGAGAGAGAGACAGAGAGACAGAGCATGAGCAGGGGAGGGGCAGAGAGAAGGGGAGACACAGAATCTGAAGCAGGCTCCAGGCTCTGAGCTGTCAGCACAGAGACCAACACAGGACTTGAACCCACGGACCTGAGCTGAAGTCAGACACTTAACCCACTGGGCCACCCAGGTGCCCCTAAGTGTAATTTTTAATGAACAACTAGGTATATCAGGCATATAAATATTTACTAATAACACAGCACTATGTTAACTAGACTTGTAGTGATCATTTTGCAATATATATAAATATTAGATCATTCTGTTGTAATATGAAAATAATACAATGGCATATATCAGTTACCTTAATAAAAAATAGACAAATAGGCAATATATGTAAATAGTAAGGGAAACTGCATCGATTTAAAAACACATGAAGATATTTCAGATCTCCCTAATCATTAGAGAAATGCAAAATAAAATATTTATAGGTTTATATCCAACAAATTAAAATAATTAGAAAGCTATATGATACCATGTGTTGACATGGATGTGACACAATGGGAACCCTGTGCATCTCAGTTCAAAGTATAACTTGGCAAATTTGTTGCGTGAAAAGCTTGTATTATGTAGAAACCATGAGTATGACCCAGCAAATGGCACACTTGGGTGTAGAAACACTCATGTGTAGGTCTAGACACAGGTGTGGAGGAATGTGTTTATTATAGCACTATTTGTGATTGTGAAAGCTGAAAGTATCCTATGTGTCCATCTCTGGGAAATGTTGATAGATAAAAATAATAGAAATGTTAAAACCTAGCATGCAGCAATTCAGAAGCAGTGATCATGAAGTACGGAATAGAGCAGGGATATAATACAATTAATATAATTTCTGAGTACCTTACCGCTTACAAAAACACAAACCTGTCCAAGGCAAAACAGCATACACATTGGAGTGATGCCAGTGGTGGACACGGAGTGAGGAAATGCATTTCAGGATCAAGGATTAGGGAAAAGGAAAAAAGTAATAGAGGAGACTTACACAGTCCAACAGAAAAATATAAATGACATGAATAGTGTAGTGTCGTAACTCCCCAACACACACACACACACACACACACACACACACACACACACACACCATAAAGTAAAACAAAGCACCAGATTAGACAACACTCTGGCGCATGGGAGCTGGTTAAAAATATCATGGTACATTCATACAATGGAATATTATGAAGTTCTTAAATATAATGAAGTGCCAATAGGAAGCAATCTCAGATGTATCATATTAAGGTAAAGTAGCAAAGTCCTGAGCTCTGTGAAGAACATGGTACTATTTGCATTATAAAAAAGAATATATGTAAATGCTTGCATATGCACAGTCTGACTCTGGAAAGACACAGAAAACAATGGTAACAGTGATTGCTTCCAGGAAAGATAACCAGATAGCTGACAGACAGCTGTGGGAGGGGAGATTTACATTTTGCCGCATATCATTTTTAAAAAAATTTTGTACTCTATTTGCATTACCCATTCAAACAAACAAAAGA